GAGATTTTACATATATTATATCTTATTAAAATATTTCAATAGAAAAACAATTTTAATGGAAATAAAAGATAATTCGATATAAAATAGAAGGTTTTATTTCAATATAAATGGTTAATTGTTTAAAATAAGTCTAAGGTTATCTCGATAAATAGTTAACTGTTAGAAATAAAACATCTCTATTAGAAAATGATTTGTTTATATTATATTTAAATATTTGGTAAACAATTGATTATCGAAGAGTTCTCTGTTCTTTTTCGTCGTTTCGTTATATAATTGTTATATTGAAAAAAAAGAGTGTCCATGACATCATTTAATAGAAAGAATTCTTTTATTGAGTGATTAACAAATGATAATTATTTGTCTGATGATAATCGATCAAATTCCGAACAACGATCAAGACGATCAAGTCTTGCAGCGTATCCTTGGATGAGATTTTCATTTTTTAATTTAAATAAAAAGACAACAACTTATTCTATATAAATTTTTTTTCAATATATATATATTTATTTTAATTAACATTTTAAATAATCGATTAATATAATAAGATGTTTCTCTTGTTTTTGTTATTATAATTGTAATTCTATTGAATATGGTTATATTATAATATTAACAGATTTATTTATATTAGCGATTCAAAAATAAAAATAAATCTCATTTATTATCTTTATTTATGTTTGGTTTATTTCGATTTAATAATATAGTTTTTTAATATTGAAATGAGGGGAAAAAAAATTGATAAATTATATTCGAAAGATATAATATATTCAAAGAATTATTTTCAATAGAAATCGAAATAATTCGATCGATTTAACATATATTATACGAATGGAAGATATTTATTGAAATAAATCAAACTCTTAAATAAATGAATGAAATCTTATATTAATATAATAAATCATTTCAATGGTTAAACTAATATTGATAGAAAGAAGATTTTATTCAATTTATTCATTTTAATTTAATTGAGTTAACCATTTGCTAGTGTTTTTTTTTTGTTAAAAATTTTTCTATAGTTTTACAATGAAATTATTTTATGTTATTATTGTCGAGTTAAGATAATAATTATATATTATTGTTTTTCATCAAAAAAAATCTTTATTTAGAAATAAAATATCATTTGTTTTGAAGAGTATTCAAATTATTAAAAAGAATTTTTCAAATTTAACCAAACGTTTTATATTATTTAAATAGACTTAAAGAATAGTTTTCATATTCGTAGAATTAAAAAAAACCAAACTTTCATATTAAATCTTTACTGTTATTTTTTCAAAGCTAATTTAAATAGTTAACTATCTATTTGCATTTAGTCAAAAATTCGTTATTTATTATATAAATCGATTTCTAGATGAATCTATATTGGTTATTTTATTATATATAAAGATTGACAACGAAAATTATTTATTATTTTCATAATCTATCCTAGAAACATTATATTGATCTGAACAATTTTGGCACAATTTATTTCTCTCTACTGAACGATCGCTAACAAATGATTAATATTTCATCCGATTTGAACGTGTTTTGTCGAAAATCTGTTTTTAACTGCTAGATAGAAACGTTCTATAAGACGAAATAATGATAAAATAGTTCAAATTATAGATTAAAAATTTCTAAGAAAATAAATTTAATCGATTCTTATAAAAATGTTTTGAAAATAAATTTATTTGAATAGGCTATTTATCGATATGGTTAAACAAAGAAATTCGAAAATAAAAAATGAAAATATTTTGTTTTTTTTATATTTATTAATATAGAAGTGATGATGTACCTGATTAATACAATCGAGTTCGTTATATTCGAGATTCTTGTAAAGTATAGTCTGATCTTTGGAAAATAGATAAAGATTTTGTAAGCTAAATAAAAGTATTGATAATGATGTATCAAAATCATTGAAAGAATTTCGTTTGAGTGATGTTGCACATTGTCATCGTTCTCCATATAGAACAAATAGTATTTTATCGATTTTAAATCAAACAATTGATGATTTAATTCAAATACATGATTTTATTGGTTCCAAAACGAAAAGAATGGCTTGAACAATTTTTAAAAATTATTGAACAAGCTAGAGATAAACAAGTATTTATTTATTGATTTATTTTTAATATACGTCAACTATTCGCCAAAGAATGACTAAACTAAGAGATAATTATGAAAAAGCTCAAGAAAAATTAGAAACAGCTGATGCCAATTTAAAAATCTTTCTGTTTTTATTATTTAAAATAAAAAATGTTCTAATTATTTTGTTAAGATTTTATACACGATCTGATCGTTTAATATTAGCAAATTTTGATGAACGTTTACGTGAATTAGAAGATATTCGTTGTGAATATGAACAATCTCGAACATTATCACGCGATATATATGCAACTGAAACATAAAATAGCTAGTGAAGAACATTCAATTACAATCAAACTTTTTTATCAATATTTATATGAAGAAAATCAATTTTATAATAATATATCTCGATATTTATCATCAAAAATGCCTGAAATTGAACAAAGATTAGAAAATGATGATTTAATTCTATTATTTGGTTATGATCTTATAAAACAGTGTTCAAAAAGAAAAGATACATTAATTGCTTATCCAATTGAAATATGTATTCGTCTATTAGAAAATAGTTTAAATGAAGAAAGTTTTTTTCGTATTGGACCATGTTAGCTCGTTTCGTCGAGCGATCGATATATATTTATTTCAAAAGAAGAAACATCTTATATATATAAAAATGTCCTTGAAGTGCATAGTATAACAGAGAAAAGAAAAGAAAAGAAAAGAAATAGTTGTACAACAACAAAGAGAAGAGAGAAATAGATACAGAAGGTGGATCGAGGCCTGTAACAATCCTCCCCTCTTATGAGATGTGTGTCCTCACACATTGAAATATTGCACGTTCATGATCAAGTGAAGTTGATATAATAATTCTTGTCCAGATTTAAATTGTGATTGATAAAGTTCATGAATATATTGTTTTATCACCAGAATAGAATTATTCATAAACGAATATGATCACCACGAATTATATCTATATCATTTATTAGGAATGTTTCATGTGTAGATTCCATAACATATATCGTAAATAATATGAACATATCCAATGGGATGTAACAATTAATGATGATGAAACTTTAATTTGATCATGTGTTGTTGTATAGCTTGAATGTGTTTTTGTGCATGTGTTAAATCTCCTAAAGATTTTTTAATATCATAAAAAATTTTAAACGTTCATAATCTTTTCCATCAATAAATGGGAAAACATCTGTATGTAAAATTTTAACTGGATCTAATTTAATTTGTCAATTTTTTGTTCTGAATTTAATAATCGTTCCATATTTCTTATTTCATTTAATAATAAATTTGAATTTATTAATACATATTCAAAATATGAATGATAACATTCATCAATTGATGTATTATATCTAATTGCTAATTGTTCACCATATTCGAATGAAATTTTCTTTTCCATGTATTGAGTTTGAAGTCCAGTTCACAACGCCACTTGTTAACTGTTTCGTTCTTGTCCAGAGATTGTTGAAAAGCTGTTTTAATTGCATCTTGTAAATCTTTTTTTTTTTGTTTCATCATTATTATTTTCCTTATTTTTTCAAAGCACTTAATTCATCTTCTTTTGCTTGAAGTTCTGTTAATAAATGATTTTGAAAAGCAGTTAATCGATTAATTTCATTGTTTATAGTTATAATTTCTTCTTGAATATCTCGAATCGTAATATGAACAGGAACATTTGCCATTATATAATTTTAATTTTTGTATTACTTTTTGTAATCAAAAAAACTTTTTTTTTTCTTTTAATATAACTAAATCTTCTTCTTAATGTTTGATTATAACAGATGGACTATAACCATACAGATGAATTTCTTGTTAAGTCAGACATAATAAATTACTAAAATAAATGTATGTTTACTTGGTGTATCGAAAAGATCAAATGATGTATAACTAAAATGAAAATGCGTAATTTATAATTTAATGTCGTAATAAAATATTTGTTCACTAAAGTCATTGTCTGTAAGGTCAATTTTTCTTTCCTTTGTATATATAGATATTCGATTTTTTATCCATATATAAAATTTTCCTTTCCTTCGTATATAAGGACGGTTCCATTGTTATCCATATATAAAATTTTTTCTTTCCTTTTGATGTGGAATATATGTATATATCATGTTAATGTTCAGATAATAGTAAAGTCGTCCAACTGGAACACGTGCATTATTGTTCGTACTGTACAGTATGGCGCCAACACTGTAAAAGTGCCTCGATTATAACGCAGTGTGATTGGTGGATGAGTCATCGCGTATAATGTATTGATCCGATGACTAATACGCATACAAATGCATAAAATAAAATCAATCAAAATTAATTTTTGAGTTCGACAGCCCCTCCTTGTCAGTGAGAAGGTGAAATTCTGTCTCCCCGGCATGGACTGCTGAATCGAATTCAATCATTTTGAATTAATTTAAATGATAATTTTTATGATATACATATAATAGTTTTTTTTTTTTTTTTTTTGACTCCTATTGATGCACATACTTTACTATTTATATTATCATATACCACATCTTTCCCCTTCTGTTTGAGGATGTGTGTTATTAAATTAAATTCCATCGTTCCACCAAAGGAACGATAACATCCATTGTTACTTGTCTTGTTAATGTTAATTTTTTTACATGTTGAACAATGAATGTTTTATGTCCTAATTGTTTAATAATTTTAAATGGACCTTCATATCGTATATCAAATTTGTTTCTAATATTTCTTGTTTTGATTAAAACTAAATCATTAATTTTTAATACTAATTCTTGTCTATGTAA